GAGAGAGAGAGAGAGAGAGAGAGAGAGAGAGAGAGAGAGAGAGAGAGAGAAACCACCACCACAACAACAACTCAGGGCTGGACATAGCTTTCCTAGTGCTAGAGTGCTTGCCTTTTGCCTTGTATGCACAAGGCCCTGGATCTCTAGTTCGGAGGACAGATCACAGAATTGGGGCTGGGGCTGTAGTTTAGTGACAAAGCATTTGCCTAGCATATGCAAGGCCCCAGGTTCCATCTCCACTACCACAAAAACCAAAGTGAACCCCACAAACTCATACGATGTTTGGCTTATGTACTAGTAAAACGATGTCTAGCTAGCTTCAGATGTAGCTGGGTCCAAAGCCTCAAAGACATCACCATCTCTCCTCATCCCTCTACCTTGCTCATCTCTGAGATATGTGCACTGGTCACTTTCAACCTTGTCACAAATCACTTTTCCCCAGTCAAAATGAGCTTCATATGCAACCAAGCTTACAAAGGTACAGCCTGAGACACACTGACAAGAGACACTCTCTACCTGGGTCCATCTCTTCATATTCTGAGCCTTGATAAGAGTCTGCTTAGACTGCAGGACCATCCTTGGACTAGTTGCTATCAGTGGGCTAGAGGTCAGCAATGAGTCAAGGTTGGGCCTTGAGTCACACACATTGCCAAGCACCAGGCGGGACCTTGATCATTCCTCAGAAACCCAAAGAGTTGGAAGGAATCGCTTCCATGAAGAAGGTCACTTATGATCCCAAAGTTCTAGTCCACAAAGCAGTGTTTATAGACACATGGCTCTTAGCAATACGAAACTTTCAGAAATGGATGGTTTAGAGCTGGGCCTGCTGGTGCTAGAGGTGGAAAAAGGAAGACCAGGAGTTTGAGGCCAGCCTAGGCTACATGACGCTCTGTCGGGACAAAACCAAACCAAATATGATGGATTCAGCTAAGCTTAATGATGCAAACCTGCATTTCCAGCATCGGGGAAGCTAAGACAGGAGGGATCATTTGCACGTCTGAGGCCAGCCTGGTTTAAATAGGGAAACTTTGGTTTGAAACAGACCAAAACAACAACAACAACAAAAAAAGTAAAGAAAGAGAGAGGAGAGACAAGTTGGTGCACACCTTTAATCCCAATTCTCAGGAGGCAGAGGCAGGTTGATCTCTGTGAGTTCAGGCCAGCAGTCTACAAAGGGAGTTCCAGGATAGCCAGGGCTACATAGAGAGACCTTGTCTCAAAACAATAAAATTTCCAAAATGAAAAAGGGTCAATGAGATAGCTGAATGGGTAAAAGCAATTCCCATGAAGACTTAATGACCCGAGTTTGATTCCTAGGACCCACAGTAGAAGGAGAACCAGCTCCTAAAAGTCATCCTCTGACCTTCACAAGTGCATGGCATGTACAACCCTCACTCACGCATCACACACCATAACAAGAAAATAAAACCACTTACTCGGACAGCACGAGTGCTAATACTGAAAAGGAGCATGTGGTATTTTTCAGAACACCAAAAGAATGTGTGTCTCTGCATGTGTGTGTGTGTGTGTGTGTGTTCTACTTCTCTAGTTCACGCTGCACAATTTTAGGGAAATCCTGCAAAACATAACTGTTATCACTTCAGTACTTGCCTGAAAAGTTAGCAAGGGTTTGGGGTGGATGTAGGCTACTGATAGAACACATGTTTAGCATGTACAAAGCCCGGAGTTTCATCACTTGTGCTCCAAACACAGAAACAAAATCAGATAAAATAACAAAACAAAAATTACCTTAGCTACTTCTTCATGTCCAAGATGAAATAGAAACTGGTATTCGATGACCTTTAAGTGGTCCCCTCCCATTCGCACTTAGCTCCCTCAAGGCTTGCTGCCTTCTCCACCTGTAGGCCCTCAGTGTGCCTCCCTTGCTTTGGCCCTGGGTAGTGCAGCAGCCCCTCTCTATCGGTATTCCATTTGATTGTCCATGGCTTCCTCTCCTAGAAGGTCAGAGTGAGTCAGGGTCAGGCTTTTAAAGGGGTTTGGGGTGTTTATTTGGCTGCTCGGAAGGACTTGGGTTAGAGAAATGAAAGCTATTGAAGACCAGGCAGGAGGCCAACATCTGGGCCCAAGGTAGAGAAAAGAATGGAGAATGTGGACTCGCTCTGCAGATGGGAGGAAGTGGGGGTGCTGTGTGCTGAGCAAGCTCTTGGGACACCTGACTCTGGTCTTTTCACAAATGAGGAAAAGTCTGTTGAGGGCTGGCTGAAAAAAAAAAAAAAAGGGTCTTTTTCCCACTGGTTTCTTGGAGTCCACAACTCAGCTTCAGGCCTTGCTTTCCTTGTTTCATCCTACCTTGTCTGTCCCCAGCCTTCAACATGGCCTCTACTCTGCCATGGTGTCCTGGGGTCTGGATCCATGGATTTGAGTTCCTTAATATGATTGTAGGCTTCTCAGAGTCAAGGACTCTCTGAGAGGTTTTGTCCCTCTGGCCCCTTCCCTGGGCTCTGTTCACAGCCTGGATGACAAGGGAAATTACAGCCCTGGTTGGAGTGATGAGATCAGGGTGTTCCCACCTGACTCAGCTATGAGAGAGCTCTCCAGCTTCCTGCTCTGCCACAGTGGCAGCACCAGCAGAGCCTCTTTCCCTACCTTACCTGAGTAAATCTTCCTTACTCAACAGGGCTGCTGGGAACTACGGCCTCTCAGGTCCCCCACCTACCACATCCCTGAGAATCTGTGTGGTCTCTGTAGGTAAAGCCTTCTCTCTCTGAAGCACACATTTCTAAGACCATAACCACAGGGAAGCCAAGCCTCCAATCCAGGAAGCCAAAGAGAGATGAAGCAGAGACAAGGCTAAGGGGCCCGTGTGAAGCGATGGCTGGGGTACTGCCAGGCACTGGCAGAGTCTAGCAATAGGGAGAAATGAAGACAACTCTTCCTACTCCTGCCCTCCAAGAGACAGGAGCTTTGAGTTAAGGGAAAGGCCCATTAAGAGCAAAACTTAGAGATTTTGGACACAGATGAAGAGACAAGGGAAGATTCAGGACAGGGCTTAGTGAACCTCTGAGGTCCCCAGTACCAGACATCAAGGTAGTTATTGCATGTGGGCACATATGTGCATGTACATACTAATGTACACACACACACATACCACCTAGAAGGAGAGCCAGAGAATGAGAAAGAGACAAAGAATAAGAGAGAAGGCTGGGCTGGGAGGTGGGGCTAGAGAGAGTCAGAGAAAGTAAGGAGATCTGGACCCAGAGGGCTGAAATCCTCTAAAGGGGTAGGGTGAGGGAAGAAAGGGCCAGGCCCTATGACCCCAGGGCCTGACAATGAGCTTATGGCCCTCTTCAGGCCAAGATGGATGGGACTGGATGCCAGGGCCTTTGTGGTGGAGAAGAAAGGAAGTTGCTCTAAGGAGGGCCTGAAGTGTGGGGGCAGGGGTGACCCCAACCCTTTTCTTCCCTGAAGGAACTTCAGTGTTGGAGAGAATTGGGGAATGGGCTGAGTCCAACCAGGCGTTTTTTCCAGGCTGGGCCATCTGCCCCACTTGAGTAGGACAGGGGACAGGGCAGAGAGTGTAACTAGAGAGAAAATGGTTGAGTTAGAAGTAAATGAGGACAAACAAGGCAGAGGAAGGCCCCTGCAGAGGCTACTGAAAATGTCCCCGGGACCAGCAAGAAAATGTCCCAGGGACCAGCAAGGGTACCCTGTCCAGGTCTTCCCACCTCTCCTTCTGGCCTCGAACTGCCCTCCTGACCTGGCTTCCTCTTG